AGCAACAAAAAATGTATTGGTTTTATGTCTCTATGTTTCTTAGTTTAAAAGTTATATAGGTAACTAGTTCCAAAACATTTTATCGTTGATGACCTCTGGTGACCTCAATATTGACCTGACCTGAAAATGTTTTATGTAAAAGTTGTAGATCTTTAAACGACCTATCAAACGCCGTTCGCCGTTTGTCGCTGCGATGTGTAGTTTTTGAGATCTGAAGGGGGGGCCGAATCGGCCCCCCCCCCGCCAGTTTCTTGTCCCGGCGGAGCCCGCCAGGAATAGGGTTAAGTGCTAACTGCATTTTCATGTGTAATCTCTCAAACGAAGTGCAGTCTGCAGATCGCCGACCGCAAAGTGTTCGGAATATGTCTTTTGCCTTTTAGCGAGTCATCAAATTTCAGAAGAGCATTCGCTCTTTAGAATACCACAAATCACTTGGCTCTGAATTGTGAGTCCGCACATCCAGAAGGAAAATGGAATGGCGGTAGAGCCCTGCCTAATGAGTCGTCGACCTTCTGAGCAGTGAGAAATGAAATGCGTCCAGGCGTCGCGTATTGCTCACTTAGCTCTTGGCCGGGAATCCCTCGAGCTGAGCTATTACATAAGACCAGAGCTGGGCATTGCGCAACTTAGGTCCGCAACTCCGCAACTCCGCAACTAGCGGACTACCCTCATGGGAGCGGAGTTACGGATCGGCTACCGAGCCCCAAAAAGTTGCGGAGTTGCGAGTTGCGGAAGCGAAAAATTCTAGAGCGCAACCGCTACCGGGGCCGCCACCGAGATACGGGATTGAAGCGAGATACAGGTTCCAGGACAAATTCATTGTGTTTATCTCGTCAAGACTAATCAATTGATGTGCAACATGACCTATTTGGGTCAGGTCGTGACCTTGAACTGAAGTCAAATTTTAAATTTGACCTTTCGAGGTCATCTTATATATCATTGATGGCCTCGAAACGACGCGCCTTGGTGGAGAAATGCTATGGCGATTAGATTATTGACCTAGCTAAATTATGTTAGAAGTTATGCCCGATAAAAGCCGTTTTCACGAGTTAGAGCGTCTGAAGCTGAAATTCATCAAAATCCGGGAAAACTGGGAACATTTTCACTTTGATGACCTCTGGTGACCTTCAAAAGGATGCAGTGCTATGTCCTATCAGACATAGCACTGCACTTCAGGACGAAAACTGATAAAACATAGGTACCTAATAGAGATGGGTAGCGGAGTTGCGGAGTTGCGGAGTTGCGAGTTGCGGTTTCAAGATCTGAAAAATAGTTTCGGAGTTGCGATTGCGCTTTGGGTACCTCTGGTTGCGGAAGGTAGCGGTAGCGGTTTCCAAATTTCGGTAGCGATGCCCACCTCTGCATAAGACACACTATGTGCGCTATGCGTGCGTAAAATTGTGCGAGCGCTGAGCCGAGAGATCTTGTCTCTGTTCGCAATGGGGTGCGCAGCTGCGTATTTTATGTCGCACTCGAACACTCAAGCGTACCAAGTAAATTGGACCGACTGAAATGGATGACTAGTCAAAAGTTGATGAATTTGGTTGGTATACGTTACAAATGCCGGCTCTGTTCTTTTCTACGCTATATCTTATTTCACTTCCATTTTATTTTACTTCTTCGTGGATACCAGATTTCACTCGTCTGCCATTGAATAACGAGCCGTTGCTCTTCTACGCAGGACATTAACTCACAGAGCTGTAAAAGCCCGGGCGCATTTGCTCTCTCATACGTGAGCGGTAGATCTGTTCTAAATGAGGGCGGCGACCGCCTGACGACCGCACCACGGCGTTTGTCCCGGAGTGGGCCCGCGTCTGCTCTCGTCTGTCCCAGAGAGAGTTCGCGGACGCTCTCTGCCGTAGGTAGGTGCTGTAACGGGGACGACTCGACTCTCCGCGGCGCTCGGAGACCCTGATGTGAAACTGAGCGACCGGCCAGCGAAGCTTCGAGAGAGACCGCAATGCAAGTTCATACACGCATGCGCATCTACCGCATTATGACTGACGTGTCCTTTTTCATGCAGGGCGCATCAGAACATATAAATAGAAATGTTCGGTAGAGCAGACACGGGCTGGGAACGTGTACGGTCCGTGTTAGCACCCTCTATTGGCCGCGATGTGGCTCCTATAATACCGATGATTAGCATCAGACCTACGAGCGGCGGTTGAGCGATAGTGTCGTTTGTTTTATTGTAATAGAGCTATTTAGTAATGTGGCCGCGGTGTTTTCGACCTGGTGACGCTGGCCGGTAAATTATTGGGCCCATAAAGCTTACGCCGGCGGAACACAATGCTACCTTGTTTATTTGTAGGCAGGTCGGTCACGCGATTTGGTGGTCAAATGTTGGACTGCTGGGAGCTGGGCGCGAATGTTAGTGTGAAGGCATGCATGATTAGGCAGATGGCATGGGTCATTCATGGTCAGAAAATGAGCGAGGAGTCGTGTCAGAACACTGGTATTGTATCTATATAGAGACAACCGTACCTATGGACAGCCTCTGGGATACTCCTCGCTTGCCTAAGAGTAATGAACATTTACAATGTTGGAAAGTACTCTTTATTTTTTCATGTCAAAATGTCATAGTGCTCAGCAGGAAATAACTGTTACAATTTGACCTCTAAGTGCGAACATTTCAATTGACACACCACTTCGAAGAAATAGACTTGGACACGATTCATTTATTCAGAAACAAAGGCACTCACCGACTGCACAGTATGGACCCGATGACCCCAGCCCCATCTTCTGCCCGGGTCCGCCTTGGCACGTTCCATTTGACCATATCTATCAATACAAATAAACCGGCCTCAGACCTAGCCCCTCACGTTCACCGGGCCGTTATGGCACAGCGCTGCCGGGACCGTCCGGCGACCTCCGGGACCGGCCCGTCGGCCGTTGATATGTGCAGTGCGACTGTCGGCGGCGTCCGCCGGGGTCAGGACAGAGGTCAGAGGTCAGCTCGGCTTCAGGTGTGGTGTCAGCGCCCGGCGACTGGCTGTCAACTGAGACTGGCTCAGACAGTCACCGGCCGCGTGGACAGGCAGCGGCGGACTGCACTGGGAGAGGGCCGTCAGTGAACAACAGACAAACCGCTACTGAAATATCCATCGACGTAGATGAGATCTACCAAAGGGAACAAGAGAGTAACTAAAACTTAAAATTAACCGCATAGCAAGAACGGTTCTCTTCACGTGCACGGTTCAATCACTTGCTGCCCAAAAAGTTTTCTGGAACATGAGACATGGCCAAGACTTTCTAAACAGGCTTTGTAGTCCATGCCGGCTTCGAAAGAACACAATAAATTTTCCAGAAAATACTGCACCGCAAATGAGCCGTTGCAGGCCGTGCAACCACGTGGCCAAAACCATTGGTGAGTGGTCAGACCATTTGGGGATTAATAAAACAATCAATCAAACAAAGCCTCCATCCATGGGGCCATTACTTGCACGCTAACTCAATGTATCAGAAATAATGCCATAGTATCAGCGCGAAGGTGGCACTCTGAAATCAAGAACAGCCCCAAAAGCTTTATGTCTGAATTTGTAGTGTTGTTTGCGCCATGATGGCTACTATAGGATCTCCTAAGGAGCAAAGCCCGCTTCTTTACCAGCTACTTTAGCAATCCAGTGCGTTGGCCCAGGTCATCCTACACCAATCAGAAAATGCCGCGCATTAAATGGTGCTATACGCGGCCCAGAATGAAAATATGTCTTTCTCGTCCCTCCGAATGAAATGTGCATTCACATTCATTGATACATTTTCCGAAACTATTCTTAGCACAAATTACCATGCGAAGAACTCCGAATGTTCATATCGCCCGATGTTCGAAAATATCTGTCCCTATCGCGATTATCTGTCCCTGTGGGCTCCTCAGGCATTCATATTTAATGCGATCCTCGACATTTACGTGATCACCTTGACCAATGACTTCCAAAGCAAGTGGGTTATTGGTTATCTTTAGTCGATGTCTTGCATACTGGACTAGAGCCGCCAAACAGCATGCAAAGGTCATGTTATGCCATACTGGAGGAATATGTACTGATAATGTCCATCGCTATAGATCTATGTAGAGCTTCCATTGCGATGATTATCAAATATTATTCTGAAAAAATGTTTGGTTCCAATCGTCTATTCTATGGTTTCTCTTTTACAAGTCGACGACTGCTACTGGTGATGAAATTCGGGAAATCAAATTGCTCTATCGACATTCACACCATGTTTAGTCTTCCCGGCTACTGTGCCCTAGGTATTTGATGCTCCGCCTGCCGGGGTGACCCGGACGTGGAGCTCGGTGATCAGTGACCACTGAACACGTGTCGAGCACCGTCCGCACCCGGGAGCGGCGGTGGTCTCAAACCCCCGCAAGGAAGCTTCGCGGGCCGACGGCGACTCAACCGATTTTGACGCGCTCTGACGGTGCTTCTTCGACGAACAGGCCACTTCTGAGCGCTGTACGCTGTCCAGACAGCTTCTGTAAAGGATTTATCCGCTCTGTTCTACACCTGACTTAATCGGTACTTATCGTGTTTTCAGTTGTTCCAGGAAGAGATGATAAGGATTGCTTCCGAAATAGACCGATATCAGTTATGGTCTGCAAACAGACAGCCGTTTCGATGTTCCAGTGGCTGGAGCACAATAAGTACCAGTAATCTATTTCTTCCTATAACTAGCATCGATGTTTTAAGGGCTTTTTTGTCAAAAAGAGGTGGATCGAAATCAGGAAAGCTGCCCTTGGCTTAAAGCAAATGTGGTGAAAAACTGGTTCGCACAATTTACGAATCACGTGTCACTGCAGAGACATGAGCTCGGCTGCTCTGAGCAGCCATAGTCAGCCATGTTTCACACCAGTCCTTTCCCGTTTGCCCGTAGGTAGGCAGCCTGTGTACTAAATAGGGCCTTGGTAGGCAAAAGGCATAACGGAAAAGAATGTTTATTCAGCGATTAGTTTCCGTCGCCTGCCGCCAGGGGCGCTGAGGGTCGTCGGTGCGCCGCCGTCGGCCGGCGACGTCAAACGGTGGGTGACCGCGGCGGCGTCGGGTGTCCGCTCCTCGCGCAGCCGACGAGCCATGTCGGACGGTGCCCGCCCCGAGGGCTGATGCTCCGAGGGCTCCTGGACTGAGCGGTGGACAGCAAACGCCCCCGGAGAATGGCAGCGCCGCAGGAGAACGGATGAATGCCAGAAGACGAGGAGGAGAATTGGCGCGTCCGGCCGTGATCGGTATCGGTGAACTTGGAGTGATATAGTGACGGCTGGAGGTGACTTAGTGTCGTGACTGGTGAACTGGACAGCAGAAAAACGCCCGACTTCCGTGAGCTGTGGTGGGGGTAAATTGCGAGGGGAAGACGCACAATCTTTTACTGACTGAACTGAGGTCATTTCTCCAAGCGAGATTGTACCGTATCGTAGCCAATAGAAACCCGCGCAGTGAAGCTAGCCTGAGCGACACCCTAGAGTAAGTCATTTCCCACTCCACAGAATTACAGACAGCTGCGTAGGCACTTCATGTTTGGTTTGATGGGTGAATGTATGTCCTTTCACTATGTGGTAAGGGATTTCATCGTACAAGACTGAAACAGCAGTGTTAGCTATAACATACGTTGATTAGAAAACAATTGCGTGATATATTAGTGACGTTCAACTTCAACCCAAACTAAGAGACTACGGTGAACCGAGGGACACTGATAAAATTGTTGTGGCTATATGTGTTGCTGTTCAACTGTTGCACGAGATAAAACATCGTTTATCCTGTGCAAATAATTTACGTCGGTAGAAACGCTGTGTGAAACTCCTGAGCCGCTGAAAACCAAGAGTGACACAGGGTTGCCGCACTGTTGTGAAAAACAGTGAACTAGAGGAGCAACGGCGCGACTCTGGATAAACTAACCCTGTACTGAGCCGGACTGTTTACCAGAACAGTTTCCGACGTTTACTGAGTGCGCGTGTGTGTGAACTTGAGGCACAGCAAAGCGGTGACTGCTCAGTGACGGCAGAGGACCCGACTTAGCGCAGCAGTGACTCTGAGACACTGTCACCTCTCGGTAATCGCTCAGTGACTGCTCGGTGACGGCGCAGCAGTGACTCTGAGGACACTGTCACCTCTCAGTGATCGCTCAGTGACTGGCGGAGGACCCGACTGAGTGCAGCGGCGCAGGAACTGACACGCGGTGATGCCATGAAGCTGCCAGACATGGTGCCACTGCCGCCCCGACCCACCCTGCTCTTCGTCGTCTCCCTCAACCTCCTTCTACACAGAGGTGAGTCTCAAAACTTATACGATCAGATTGAAGTAAATATATTTTGCTGAGCTGCTTATGGGGCAAAAACTTATAATGACGGCTTTGAAACTTGAATCTTGCATTACAAAATGCGATCGATTGCTTTTTACCTTCACTTCAGACTTGAGTTAGCTCATGTAGTTATTGAATAAATATATGAGGATGAAGCTTGCAGTGTATCCTCAAAGAGAAGATGAACATTATGTGTTGCGTACCTGCCTTCCTGTGTAATGGGCTCCTTATTTCAAAAGAACCTTTCTCCAAACCTTTTATAGACATTAAGCCAAGTCACAAAGACGCAGAGCAGAAGTTCCAAAGAAACCATCAGCGAAGATGCAACGGAAATACTACAAACAGAAAATTTCCAATGCGCACAAACTTATGAGAATTGGTATCCTAATGGATAAAACAGCATTGAATAGAGCTTTATGCATCAACCGAATGTCCGCGAGAGATCTCAAAAGGCGATTTTAACATACATTAGCTGGCTTGTTGGCAAAAAGTTTGGAAATGGCTGATGGCTTTAAGTAAGTCTAAAAACACAAATGTGTTATTTTTATAAGTCCAGTGCATTACGGAAGATACGGCCAAGTTGAAGGCCTTTTCAACTTTGAGACGATTTTTTTTTTTTACAACATAATCTATTATGAAATAGTTCCGCCGGTCGTCCACGTTTCTTCCTCTATCTGGTGCTTAATTGGCATGAACAATGTGCATAACATGATCATTTTACATCAAATAAGAAAATAAGCTAAATAAATTTACGACTGACGAAGCAGCCGGTAACGTTATTGGCATTTATTAGGAAATGTAATGAGAGCAGAGAAATAATGAGTAGCTGTGTTTCGGTTCTGTCGTGATGAAAATCTGCTGCAATGCTGAATGACGCACTCCTATGATCAACCTGATTTTGTTACTGATGCTAGGAATGTAACTGAGTGGATTGCGCTTTTCACCATCACAATTTAGTTTTTCATTCGTCAGCGACACTGATTGCTGGAGGGTAGACACAGGGTAGGTACGGCCCTCCAGCAAAAGAGTGGTTGGTTAGCCTATGTGCTTTTGGTGTAATAACTTTAAATGACAGAGACACTCCTGCAAAATGACTCAATAGAAATGAGAAGAGGGTTTGTGCACACATTTCGGCAGTGGTTTTCAACAGCCATTAGATGTATTCATCAATGCAGATAGATTATTGTGATGTTGGCAACCACCCACTCAATACCTGGAGGGCCGTAGATCTGATAGCATTTCTAAAAGTTCAGGTGTGTTTTTGTTATACACTGCAGTGTCACTGAGTGACCCTGGTCCCTGGATGTGATACAGATTACAGCGGGAATATAAGTTTTTACTGAGCACATAACTGCTCCATAGAATCCGTTGGGTGCCAGTGTTCGGATATGATATTTGTGTTGCATCTTAGTACCTACCGCGCAGCTTCTGTGAGGGATTATGAACTAAAGGCTAACCTGCCTGGCTGCCATGTAGTGCGGTACAGCATACGTATTCAGGCGGCCCTCCTTGCGCGGCGCTATGTGAAACACAGCTAGGGACAGCCGCGTTCGATTTGGATACAGTGGATGAGGATGAGGAATGAAACGGAGAGGGACAATACGAAGCTCTAGTTTCGTGTTTGAGATATTTCCAGTGCCGGGAATATCTCATTTACTTGTCAGTCAGGTCTGACAAATCCCATCGCGCTCATTTCGCTGAGAATGACACCGGCGAGCCACCGTGTGACAGCTCTGACACAGAGCCTGTATCTGACACCCGCCCCGTGTCAGTGTCGGAAACATCCGCCAGGCGCAGTTCTCGGAACAAGCCCTGAAAAATCCCACAATGACAGCGTGCTCTACGCACCGAGAGGACTAGAGCTTTCCGATAAAATGAGAGCGTGTGGCGTTGTGGAGTTGCTGGTACAAAAACCGTGTTGCGCGCGTTTCTGTCAAGGCTTTGCGTCTCCTGGTGAATGTCGTTGAGACATCGAAGCGATCGAGTGTTGTTCGCAGCGGGGTGGTAGGTAAATCGGCATGTTTCCATTGAACTTCGAAGAATTTCATAATTGGTCATAGATGGCCGACTAAAACCAATATAGAAAACCTAAAGCATATGCATAAAAAGACAGTAGCGGCGGAACACCTTCAATTAACCCTCGCCCGCACATGGGGGGGGGGGGGGTTGCCACCCCCTCAGGTAGTCTTTCTGCTCTGCACTCAACATTTTTAGAGATAGAAGGCTGATTTTTGGTATAGCTGCTCCTCTATTCTTTCTTGATGTCCACTGAAAATTTCAAGTTTCTGTGATTTTTGGTTTCGGAGATATGATCTTGTTTGTCAGGTCATGTCATGACCCAAATGGCCAATTCTCAACATCTTGCGTTTGCCATGGGCCTTGTGAGCTTTTGCCACCTTGATTTCGGCCTTTTTTGCCAGTCTTACCTCCCACCTATCATGGAACATGTTGTTCGACAATGTACAGGGGTCAAGGTCAGGGTCAAGGTCAACCTAGGTCATCTAAGATAATTGCGTTTTAGGCAAGCTGAATTTACTTTTTGTGAAGTTTTTTTGACTGCATTTTTGGTAAAAGCTTCTCAGATCATGATTTCATGTAATATGGACACAAAAACAATCGGTGCACACATCAGTATACACACAGACACCCACAGACATACAAACACATATAACTGACCTTGACCTAACTTGACCTGAAATGACCTCAGCAGCAAAAATCTGGTCGGGTATTGTGACAAAGAGGTTCTAGCTGGCTTGGCACCAGAAAACGGCATCGTCATCGGTATATGATAAGCAGCGCACTTGATATCCAACGGTGACCCAAAACAGCAACATTTTTTAGTTTGACCTGACCTGGAAGGTCAATGACTGACCTGAGAAGGTAAAATTGGGTATCATTGGATTCGTCTCTTCCCAAAGAATCTTTTTGGTCTTTATCGCTAAGCTCTATCTCCAACAGGAACGAAACGGCGCGGGGGGGGGTGGCAACCACCCCACCCCCCAATGTGCGTTCTAGGATGGGAAAATGGCATGTGCGGGCGAGGGTTAAGGGGGGCACTGCCGACTTTTGGTCCCATTCTTTCCATGAAACGCCCATTGGGCTAATGTTAAAATGCCAAAACCAAAGGGGGACACGGTGCCCCGGTGCCCTCCCCGTTCCGCCGCCTATGTAAAAAGACACAATTAACCCTGATTGGTTACCTACAGTATTCCAGGGATTCAGCACTAATTTATTAGGGTAAACAACACCCGACGTGAAAGCCCCTGGGACTAACCCTAGTGCTGTCTGATAACATATGACCTTGTTTATCATTTTTTCTTGTTACTAGCCCGGTAAGTCGAGCCTTCCCGGATAATTTGGCTCTTACCGTGACAGATTGAACCAGCCTGAAACAAAAAAGGAGACAAACATGTTGAAACTTTTATAAAAAAGGGACTTCTAAAAAGGCAAAATAAGAGAACTCTGGTCAATCGATAATTACTAAGTATGCCTCAATGGTAAAAATGCACCTCAGCCTAGTAGTTCGACAAGATGGGGCTAATTTATGTATAATCATATTATGCCAGGCAACTTTTGCATGTGCTGAAAACAGATAAACGTAGTACCCCTTTCCCCCACAACAATACCTACACCTATCTATACCCAGCTGATAATATAAATTGTTCCTAAGTCTACATATGCATTATGCTTGTAGGCTATTCATTGTGTTATTCACGCATAAGCATACCTGCCTCACTTTCTATAGTAAAGTAAATAAATGCTACATCTATGTACAGTCATGTTTGATCTGGCAGTATGTAGGTATCGCTGAAACACGCCATCTACTCATGCGCTATTTCACTTTGAATCCAAATTCCATTTTAAATCCATCAGTGAATTACGGTGCCGCGAGCGGCAGCAAAAGCGTCTATTATTAATTCATCCTCGATTTCCATCCAATGCTGCGATGGAATCAATGTCATTTAGGCACCGACGCACTCGTGCGTAAGAGATGTGTTTCTTATTCACCAAACGAGATATTCTGTAACTTGCGTTCAAATCGGTCAAATGGTTTCGCGGAAAGGTTTTTACAAGAGATGCATACGCATTATGCGAGTTTGAAGCAAAATTAGCTTAAAATCAGAACCACATTTGCCGACATGTCTCTAAAAGCACTGCTAAAGCCATGAGCACGAAATGGGCTTTGGCACAAAAAAAAACACTGGCATTGATTTTCAAGCTTTCATAGACCAAAACGCTGATGGCGTTCAATTGATCATCGCTGAGCCTATACCGCTGTTGAGCACGGGTTTCGCGTTCCGCCGTTTTGCGCTGCTAATATCCATTAGTTTGTCCCTGGCTCCGCACACGAGCACGGACGCTGTGTTGCTCTACTTGAGACTGCTGAAATTCCGACGTTGGCCACACTTCTGGCGGTCTTCAGTCGCTAGTGCCAACAGGACCTGTTTGCTGAGATAACAGCAGGTCAAATAGCGCCGCTTGGCCGACCGGCCGACTTTAGGCCGGCCAGTGCCAGTATTTACAGGGAAATAGATCCGGTCCGGTGGCCATTATATGATTGGAAACGTTATGATCGTCACGCGAGGTACGTTTTGTTGAACAAGAGTTTTCATGTTTGCTTGATTTCAGAATTTCTTATGATACGCTGACATTTTTTAGACATATATAGGTAAGTATCACGTGTGCGTTGTAAGCGATATAGGCATTTAAGTCATAATCTCATCCTAAACACAACAAGCGTTGACATGAAATCAATTTCCATCGCTGACATAGGCTGTTCTGGTGAATAGCGGTGTTGGCTCAGCACACATTCAGCGTCACCTTTATTCCACTAAAGCATTCATGGCGCTCTGAGCAGAGTGGCGACCACGGCTCGGCCGCTGTCAGTGCGTGTATGGCCTCCATAAAGGTCACACGTCGTGTACGGTGTCCTCACATCGACCGAGGTTCGACCGCGAACACCGGGC